GAGTCAGATGCCCCTTTAACAAATGAGAGCATTTTTCCTTTAAATCATATGGACACGATTTGTAAAGGAAAATTACCTTTTCATTACAAAATATAGAGACCGGCCTGTCCTAATATGCAGACATATATGTTTTCTAAATGATGATATCTGGTGCTTGGACAAAACTTCATGTGGTCAGTCGAGGCAATTTACGGGGATTAACTCGACAGCTACACTCTGCCTGCCACACTTTTTATCAATGAATTTGATGGTACTTTGAGGGTCGAAATCGTATGGTATTAAATGGGTTACTATTTAGGACCAGTTTTTGGCTTCTACAAAGTTGTGAAAATTCGATGGATCAAAATTGGACACCCTAATAGGCCGAGAGCACAAAAGCCATAACCCCAGGAATAAATTATCCATTAAAATTCAATGAGACAGACAAAACAAGTTTGTCTTTAAAACTTTCTCCATCGTAGAACTGCAATACACTAATGTAATTATGATATTCATAAGAAAGTGGTAAAAAGAATTTGAGAGAACGAGAGTTTCAAGTCTTTAGATTTCCGCTCCCGTATTCCAACACCATGTTTGTGTACCTGGGCCCTGTTTCATGAACTAGTTAATAATAACAAGTTATGATAACTGTAATAAGCTACTAAAATCTTGACATTTGATTGGCTGAGAGCAAAATTTCATAGTATCTAAGAATTAACATATGCTAGAAAATAATGAAGTACAATACAAAAAACCTATAATATTTATAAAGAACGCATTACTAAATATTATTGTTATTGACTTACTGCATGCTAATTCATCCTCGTAATGATCGCAGTGGTAAAGTCCATCGCAAAGGACAGTCGGTGACACGCTCATGTTAGAGCTTGAACAGGCATATAAGGCTGGTAGAAGGTAGAAGATGGAGAGAAAAATAACTTATGAGTAGCTCATAATGCTTTGAAATTTTACATTTGAATATACTATGTTTCTTTGAATATTTTTTTTTATTAGGCTCATTAAAACTTTACCTTCTTTATACTATTATTCTGGTAAAACTGAAAACATGGATTATTCTCATCAGTCGACAGGTGTTGAATAATTCTCATTTTATAACTAGTGAGACAACAGTTATCATCGCTTCAATAGACAGAGCTTTAGATTTCACCAATATTTTAAAAGAAAAATGATATAAAACTCACATGATAGGTCAATTGAAATGATTTCAACGACCATTCGGAGCCCGGAGTAACCATTTGCTCCTATGACAGCAAACCACATCTCATTGGTATCTACATAAACATCATCGTGCTCGTAGTTTATGTTTCCATGGATAGTTGTGATACCAGACTGTATGTCAGATGGTTCGTTACCTGTCCCTATTTGGACTTTAGCACCATCAGAAAGATACAAATCTCGGAACACAACTCGAAATCCATTCGTAGTGTTTGTTTTGAGCAAGATTGCATTATAGAATCGTGTTGTGCTGGTGTGTGGTAAGGAGATGAAATATGATTCGCCTCTTTGGAGATAAGTTGCTGAATAACCTGAACGGTAAAAAAAAAAAAAAATATATATATATATATATTTCTTCAACAGAGATTGGTAGATAAGCTTCATCATCTCGCATCGATATCTAATCTGGCAGCCTCTCCCGAAAAAAATGTGTATATAAGCAAAACTGCTTAACCCCCCTTATTTACCTAGAGGAAAGGACATTTCCCCCCCCCCCCAAAAAAAAAATGTATAGACCTAACCGTATATATCAGAGTTCCCAAAACGGATCCCAATGTCGGGTAGGTTTCAACCCATCTACCACTTGCGAAAAATTTGGCTAGTAGAAATTATGACATGACATTATAAACACGTCAATCTACAAACTTTGAACAGGGATCGGTTGATAGAGTCAGATGCCCCTTTAACAAATGAGAGCATTTTTCCTTTAAATCATAATAATAATAATATAAGTTTATAACGCGCACGCATCCGAAACTTCCGATCAAGGCGCGACAAAAATGAATAAGCAGATTACACAAAACAGTTCAACAGATATTATTTCTAAACGTTATTAAACCTAAATCTTAGATAAACAGGAATTCAAATCTGATATAAACAGAAATTCAAGTATTGGACAAACAGATAATACAGTTCACATATAGTTCTTTAAGTCATGAAACTTAAACATCAGATAAATAAATACGCTTTCAACTGTGATTTAAATTGTTCTGTGGATTCTAATTGTCTAAGATGAGAAGGAAGAGAGTTCCAGAGGACGGGTGCAGCTTTGGCGAAGGACCTGTCTTCATACGTAACCGTTATAGTCATTGACACGACTAGTCTCGTAGCCGCTGAAGACCTCTCTGACCTCACTGACTGCGTTACTAATACCATCTCAGAGAGGTACTGGGGGGCCTGACCATGCAGACACTTGAAGGTAGTCAGACAAATCTTGAACACGATTCTCTTCTTCTTTACCGGTAGCCAGTGCAATTGACGAAGGAAATGACTTATTCGCGCATACTTCCCTGCCTAATTAGTAAGAACATGGGCTGCGTTGTTGTGTACTCGCTGCAAACGAGAAATGGCTGAGGAAGGGACACCTACCAGGAGGGCGTTACAGCAGTCCAATCTGGAAGTTACCAAGGCATGGATGATCTGTTCTGTAGTCTGCTTCGAAATGTATTTACGGATTCTCCTGACATTCCGAAGGTGGAAATTTGCACTTCTGCAAATGGATGAAACATGCTTTTCCATATTGAACAGATGGTCAAAGACGACTCCCAAATTCCTAGCTGAAGTTGATGAAGAGGTAGCATGACCATCAATGTTCAGATTTCGAGGTTGAAAAGTTGAGTGATTGTGACGAGATCCAAGCACCATCATTTCAGTCTTTTCTGGGTTCAGTTTAAGGAAATTAGAACTCAACCATGCTTGTATGTCACTCATACATGATTCCATCTGATCGAAGGTAGCCGAAGCATCCCCTGGACGAAATGTGAGATAGAGTTGGGTGTCATCAGCGTAGAAATGAAACTGAACCTGATGGTAACGAGTGATGTCTCCAAGTAGTAATATGTAGATAGTAAAGAGTACCGGGCCTAAGACCGAACCCTGAGGCACCCTACACTTGAGAGGACAAGGTTCAGATATATTGTCACCAATACGCACCACCTGAGATCGGCCAGAAAGGTAAGATTCAATCCAACGCAAAGTTGAACCTTTTAAACCAAGCCTTCCGGATAGTCTTTGAAGTAAGACATGATGATCAATGGTGTCGAACGCAGCGGATAAGTCCAACATGACAAGCAGAACCATTTGGTGCTTGTAAATAGCAGTGAGAAATTTCGTTTGAAACTTTCATAAGAGCACTTTCGACACTATTCCCGATCTTATAAGCCGACTGCATGACTTCCATAAGGTGGTTAAATTAAATGTAGTCCACCAGCTCATATGGACACAATTTGTATAGGAAAATTCCCTTTTCATTACAAAATATAGAGACCGGCCTGTCCTAATATGCAGACATACATGTTTTCTAAATGATGATATCTGGTGCTTGGAGAAAACTCCATGTGGTCTGTTGAGGCAATTTACGGGGATTAACTCGACAGCTACACTCTGCCTGCCACACTTTTTATCAATGAATTTGATGGTACTTTGAGGGTCGAAATCGTATGGTATTAAATGGGTAACTATTTAGGACCAATCTTGGCTTCTACAAAGTTGTGAAAAGTCGATGGATCAAAATTGGACACCCTATTAGGCCGAGAGCACAAAAGCCATAACCCCAGTGACTAAATTATCCATTAAAATTCAATGAGACAGACAAAACAAGTCTGTCTTTAAAACTTTCTCCATCGTAGAACTGCAATACACTAATGTAATTATGATATTCATAAGAAAGTGGTTAAAAGAATTTGAGAGAACGAGAGTTTCAAGTCTTTAGATTTCCGCTCCCGTATTCCAACACCATGTTTGTGTACCTGGGCCCTGTTTCATGAAACTAGTTATTAATAACAAGTTATAATAAATGTAATAAGCTATACTTAAATCTTGACATTTGATTGGCTGAGAGCAAAATGTCATAGTATCTAAGAATTAACATATGCTAGAAAATAATGAATTACAATACAAAAAACCTATAATATTTATAAAGAACGCATTACTAAATATTATTTGTTATTGACTTACTGCACGCTAATTCATCCTCGTAATGATCGCAGTGGTAAACTCCATCGCAAAGGACAGTCGGTGACACGCTCATGTTAGAGCTTGAACAGGCAAATAAGGCTGGTAGAAGATAGAAGATGGAGAGAAAAATAACTTATGATTAGCTCATAATGCTCAGAAATGTAACAATTGAATATACTATGTTTCTTTAAATACTTTCAGTAATTAGGCGCGTCAGAATTCACCTTCTTCATACTATTATTTGTGGTAAAAATTAAATCATGGATTATCTTCATCAGTCGACAGGTATTGAATAATTCTCATTTAATAACCAGTAAAACACCAGTTATCACTGCTTCAATAGACAGAACTTTAGATTCCACTGATATCTTAAAAGAAAATTATTTCAACACTCACTTGATAGGTCAATGGAAATGATCTCAACGTCCATTCGGAGCCCGGAGTAACCATTTGCTCCTATGACAGCAAACCACATTTCATTGGTATCTACATAGACATCATCAGGCTCGTAGTTTATGTGTCCATGAATAGTTGTGATGCCAGTTTGTATGCCAGACGGATCGTTACCTGTCCCTATTTGGACTTCATTAAAATAACCCTGGAGATACAAATCTCGGAACACAACTCGAAATCCATTCGTAGCGTTTGTTTTTAGCAAGATTGCATTATAGAATCGTGTTGTGCTGGTGTGTGGTAAGAAGATGAAATGTGATTCGCCTTTTTGGAGATAAGTTGCTGAATAATCTGTAAAGGGGGAAAAATAAAGGAAAAAAGTCAACTGTCGATGTTTCTTGTCAGTTCTTCAACAAGAGATTGAGAGATAAGTTTCATCATATTGTATCGACAGCTAATCTGGCAGCCTCTCCTGAAAAGAACTTGTATTTTACATACGGTTTGAGTACATTCTCCCAAAATGTATAGACCTAACCGTATCTATCAGAGTTTCCAAATCAGAGCCCAAAATCAAGTAGGTTTCAACCCATCACCACGTGCGAACAATTTCTCTAGTAGAAATTATGACATGACATTAAAACCCGAAAATCTGCAAAATATGAACAGGGATCGGTTGATATCAGACGCAACTTTATAACATGGGAGCAATTTCTCCTTTAAATCATATGGAAACAATTTGAATAGGAAAATTCCCTATTCATTACAAAATATAAAGACCAGCCTGTCCTAATATGCAGACATATATGTTTTCCAAATGATGATATCTGGTGCTTGGACAAAACTTCATGTGGTCAGTCGAGGCAATTTACGATGATTAACCCGACAGCTACCCTCTGCCTGCCACACTTTTTATCGATGAATTTGATGGTACTTTGAGGGTCAAAATCATATGAGTATTAAAAATGGGTTACTATTTAGGACCAGTCTTTGGCTTCTACCAAGTTGTGCAAAGTCGATGAAACAAAATAGGACCCCTAATTGGCCGAGAGCACACAAGCCATAATCCCAGTGACTAAATTATCCATTAAAATTCAATGAGACAGACAAAACAAGTCTTTATTCAAGACCGTCTTCATCGTAAAACTGCAATACACTAATGGAATGATGAAATTCATAAAAAAGTGGAAAAGAACGTAAAAGAATGGGAGTTTTAAGTCTTCATATTTCCGCACCCATATTCAAACGATCAATAACAAGTTATGATAACTGTAATAAGCTACTGAAATCTTGACATTTATTTGGCTGAGAGCAAATTTGTCATAGTATCTAAGAATTAACATATGCTAGAAAATTATGAAGTACAGTAAATACCTGTAATATTGGGAAAGAACGCATTACTAAATATAATTTTGTATTGACTTACTGCATGCTAATTCATCCTCGAAATGATTGCATTGGTAAATTCCATCGCAGAGGGCAGTCGGTGACACGTTCATGTTGGAGATTGAACAGGCAAATGAGGCTGGTACAAAATAAAAGATGGAGAAAAAAATTATTTATGAGTAGCTAAATTGGCTTTAAAATTTAAAAATTGAATACACTAGATTTTCTTTGAATACTTTTAGTAATTAGGCGCGTTAAAAATTCACCTTTTTTATATTATTATTTCTGGTAAAACTTGAAACATAAATTATCTTCATCAGTCGACCGGTGTTGAATAATTCTCATTTTATAACTAGTGAGACACCAGTTATCACTGCTTCAATAGACAGAACTTTAGATTCCACTGATATCTTAAAAGAAAATTATTTCAACACTCACTTGATAGGTCAATGGAAATGATCTCAACGTCCATTCGGAGCCCGGAGTAACCATTTGCTCCTATGACAGCAAACCACATTTCATTGGTATCTACATAGACATCATCAGGCTCGTAGTTTATGTGTCCATGAATAGTTGTGATGCCAGTTTGTATGCCAGACGGATCGTTACCTGTCCCTATTTGGACTTCATTAAAATAACCCTGGAGATACAAATCTCGGAACACAACTCGAAATCCATTCGTAGCGTTTGTTTTTAGCAAGATTGCATTATAGAATCGTTTTGTGCTGGTGTGTGGGAAGGATATGAAATGTGATTCCTCTTCCTCAATATATGTTGCTGAATCTGTAAGGGGAAATAAGACAAAAATAAACGAAGTATGAACAAATTAATTTAATAAAAAGTCACCGATAGAGGATTCTTATCAGTTCTACAACTAGAGATTGGTAGATAAGCTTCGATCATCGTGCACTGACAGCTTATCTGGGTGCCTCTCCCGATAAAGACCTATATTATCCATATCGTTTGACCCTCTTTGTTTAGTTAGAGGAAAGATCATTCCCCAAAGATTTGTAGACATAATTGTATCTTTCAGAGTTCCCAGAACAGAACCTAAAGTCATGTCGGTTTCAATCCATCTTCATCATGCACGAAATTTTACTCGTAGAAATAATAACTGGACATATAAAATCGGAAAAGCGACCAAATTTGAACAGGGATCGCTCGATATCCGACGCCCCTTAAACAGAGCATTTTCCTTTAAATAATATGGATATAATTTGTATAGGAAAAATCTCTTTTCATTTCAAAACATAAAGACTGGCCTATCCTCATATGCAGATATACGACTTCATATTGACAAAATTGAACCCGACTTCATGGGGTCTCTTGAGTCGGATGAGGGGGGTCAACCTCACAGCTACAGTCAGCCTGCCACACTTGTTATCAATTAATGTGATGACACTTTGAGGGTTAAAATCGTATGAGTGAAATGGGTGACTCATCAGGATCAGTCTTTGTCTTCTATCACGTTGTGAAAACTTGAAGTCGATGGAACAAAATTGGACCCCCTGATAGGCCGAGAGCACATAATTCATATGCAACCCCAGTGACTAAAATATCCAAGAGAACTCCACGAGACAGACAAAACAAGTCTGTTTTCAAAAGGATGAAGAAGTTTCACTGTTAAAATTCAAGACACCAATGAATTTCACAATTTCTTAAAACAGTGGAGAAGAATGTTAGAGAATGCGAAAAATATGGCCCTTTTTTCCGCATCCTTATTCCAACAATACTTTATATTGTTCGTATATCTTGGATCTGTTTCATGCAACGTTTATAAAACTTTTAAAGGCTACTAAAATCGTTGCATTTGATTGGCTGAGAGCAATTTTTGTATAGAATTTTAGAGTTATTTATTAATAACAAGATTGATGAAACAGATTCCTGGTGTAAGTGGAACTAACTAGGGAGTATGCTAATTGGGATTTCTTCAAATTTGCGTAAGATGTATTCTATATCATGTATTTGGTAGTAGGCAGTGGAACGTAAACGCGTCAGAACAATGTGATGTAGTCAAACATAATGTCAGTATAAAAACTAAGGAGCTATTCCAATACTTACGACACAACGATTCATCCTCATAATTGTCACAGTCGTAATATCCATCGCAAACCAACGTCATTGACACTTTCATGTTCGATCCCGAACAATGAAAGAAATCTAAGACCATAAAGTGTATGATGAATGGCATTATTTACTCACTTCTTATCATTACTTCACTAACTTTCTGTCATGGTAATTTTAGTTTTTGTGTACACCTTTCTTTTGTTTCAAACAATCAAACAAACAACAATAGCGATATTCTATCAATATAGAGATACTTGATACATATACCCACTCTCACGTGCTCGGAACTAAAACTAACGTACTGTAAATTAATAATATCATATCCATGCACCAAATATTAATCTAGCTCTACGAGTACATTCGGTGTACACCTTGTGCCCATATAATAATACAAATGTCAAGTTATCAAGCGCACTTATCCATTCTAAAAGACTGTTCAAGGCGCTCTGTACAATACCAAAATATGTATATAATATCAAAAATTCGAAGTGGTGCTTTAGTTTTTCTTAAATATTTATATTGATGATAGGTTGTAGCTGGTTTTTTACCCAGCGTTGTACCTGGAGTTGTTTCCGGTGCTGTACCTGGGGTTGTTCCCGGTGGTGTTTGAGATGTTGTACCGAATGTTGTTCCCTGTTTTGTACTTGATGTTGTTCCAGGAGTTGTAGCTGATGTTGTTCCAGGTGTTGTACCTGGGGTGGTTCTAGGAGTTGTAGCTGATGTTGTTCCAGGTGTAGAAGCTGGCGTTGTACCCGGTGTTGTAGCTGTTGAAGTTCCCGGTGTTGTTTGATGTGTTGTACCGAATGTTGTTCCCGGTTTTGTACCTGGTGTTGTTCCAGGTCTTGTTTGAGGTGGTGTTTGAGATGTTGTACCAAATGTTGTACCCGGTGTTGTAGCTGTTGAAGTTCCCGGTGTTGTTTGAGGTGGTGTTTGAGATGTTGTACCGAATGTTGTTCCCGGTGTTGTATCTGGTGTTGTAGCTGTTGAAGTTCCCGGTGTTGTTTGAGGTGTTGTACCGAATGTTGTTACCGGTTTTGTACCTGGTGTGGTTCCAGGAGTTGTAGCTGATGTTGTTCCAGGTGTAGAAGCGGGCGTTGTACCCTGTGTTATAGCTGTTGAAGTTCCCGGCGTTGTTTGATGTGTTGTACCGAATGTTGTTCCCGGTTTTGTACCTGGTGTTGTTCCAGGTGTTGTAGCTGATGTTGTTTCAGGTGTAGAAGCTGGCGTTGTACCCGGTGCTGTAGCTTTTGAAGTTCCTGGTGTTGTTTGAGGTGGTCTTTGAGGTGTTGAACCGTATGTTGTTCCCAGATTTGTACCTGGTGTTGTTCCAGGTGTTGTAGCTGATGTTGTTCCTGGTGTAGAAGCTGGCGTTGTACCCGGTGATGTAGCTGTTGAAGTTCCTGGTGTTGTTTGAGGTGGTCTTTGAGGTGTTGAACCGAATGTTGTTCCCAGATTTGTATCTGATGTTGTTCCAAGTGTTGTAGCTGATGTTGTTCCAGGTGTTGTTTGAGGTGTCGTACCGAATGTTGTTCCCGGTTTTGTACCTGGTGATGTTCCAGGTGTTGTAGCTGATGTTGTTCCAGGTTTAGAAGCTGGCGATGTACCCGGTGCTGTAGCTGTTGAAGTTCCCGATGTTGTTTGAGGAGGTGTTTGAGGTGTTGAACCGAATGTTGTTCCCCCTGTTGTATCTGATGTTGTTTCAGGTGCTGAAGCTAATGTTGTTCCAGGTGTGGACGCTGGCGATGTACCCGGTGCTGTAGCCGATGAAGTTCCCGGTGTTGTTTGAGGTGGTGTTTGAGGTGTTGAACCGAATGTTTTTCCCGGTGTTGTATCTGGTGTTGTTCCAGGTGTTGTAGCTGATGTTGGTCCAGGTGTAGTAGCTTGCGTTGTATCCGGTTTAGAAGCAGGCATTGTACCCGGTGTTGTAGCTGTTGCAGTTCCTGGTGTTGTTTGAGGTGGTGAATTGAAGGATATTCCCGGTGTTGTAACTATTGCCGTTCCTGGTGTTGTTCCTGAGGGAAAAAATCAATGCATTTTATTTGGTAATAATTGAACTAAATGAATTTGTGTAAAATATGAGAAATTACCGATTAAGAAACACAGTTCCTAATACAATTTTTTGTTAAATATCCGTAAACTTTTGTCACTCCATCATACTGCTTTGACCAGGCGCGTACGCAGGGGGAGGGTTTTTGGGGTTAAACCACCCCCTTTGGTATTTTTATGTGTGTAAACCCCCCTATAAGAAACCTAACCCCCCCCCCCCCAACGGAGCAAAATGTCAAATTTTCAAAATTCGAGACCAAAAAAAAAAAAAAGTGTCCGCTTACCCCCCCCCCCCCACTGAGCGACTTTTCGGCTGGCTGAGTCGTTGCGATTTTTTTTTGGACTCCCCCCCCCCCCAAAAAAAAAGTGTCCGCTTACCCCCCCCCCCCCCCCCCCCCCCCCACTGAGCTACTTTTTGGCCGGCGCGATTATCAAATTTTCCTGTGTCGTTGGGAAATGTTGGACCCGATTTTAAACCCCCCCCCCCCTTGAAAAAATCCTGCGTACCCCACTGGCTTTGACTATATGTCTTATATTTTGAAAAATGTTGTGTGCAAAAGTAGTGAGATTATCATACCCCAATGAAAACCAAACTATATTACATTATTTGGAAACAATTGAATTTCTTGTTAGTGCTTTGCATGTTAGTTTCTAACTTGTTTATGAATGTTACAGTTACAGAAGCTCTTATACAAAGTCTGCAGTGTTCTCACCACAACAAATTCAATAGCAGAACATGATAAGTTATAGATATTTAGAATGCTTCATTTATGCTCTAAACAACTCAATTCAATGTATTTATTAGTACATTGTGCGTTCAACATTAATTTTGTTTCGTTTCCTTACTGTAGATCAAACATATAATCAAAAGAACGTAATCTGCTTTCACAAAATTTGCAAGCCTTTTTTGTTAGACAATCTTTAAACTGCTCCCGTTTTATTTCAATAATGACACATTTAATTGTTCACATCTAATGTATGTGTACTTGGAATACTAAGTCGATAATGGAAAATGAACATCTATATTCTTGACCGGTATACTTTTATTCAATGTTACTTACCCCCAACTGCAATTTGGATGAGGAAAGTCATCCAAAGAATGAGGAGAAGCTTCACGACTGAGTGAGTTTTTCCGAAACACTTCTTCATTTTCATTCCGTTAATGCCACTAAGATTATAGAAACAAATTATGATGCAATACGATGCAAATATATATGTAATATAATAATAATTATTATTGTTATAATCATAAATATAATGATTATTATAATGATAATAATAAGTGGATTTCATAACACATTTTCAGAGGACACACGGCACTGTTCCTAACTCAATCAGCAAAATAACAATAATAAATTGTAGAGGTCGGATTTCAGATGTGTGTTTGTTCACCCATTCCAACTTAGAAATGCAGGGAGTTTATTTTATAGGCGTAGAGCAACGGAAAGAAAGTGTTTGTATTTAGCCTGTTTATATTGGTTATGATCTGCTTAAAAAATTAAAATAAACTCATCAGCATGTAGTGAAATATATTTCATCAGAACAACAGCAGCACATATTAAGCAGCAACTATGCATTTCATATGCACTGTGAAAAGGTTGGGCAATATTTTTTAAACGCTTTGCCCAACGTTGTGCCAATAGTCAACCAACCATCTATTGGGCAATATTTTGCCCAGTGGTATTGGTAAACGTAAGTACCCTACTTCACACGTGCATAATTGATTCGTATTTTGACCAACATTTGGGCAAGGATATGACCCTTCAACTGTCCGACTACGGTAGCCCACTTGTTTGGAATATCTTGACCAACTGTTGGGCAAAATACGAAATTATTGCCCAATAGATGGTTGGGTTAACTATTGGCAAAGTGTTGGAAAATATTGCCCAACCTCAGGGTGGAAGAAGTACCTCGAACGTATACGGGAGTCCTGTCGATGTGTTGACATAGAACAAGCAAAGACATGTAACACGTTTCTGGTGCAGCGTGAGAAGTATTTGTTTAAGTTATGTATTTTTGATCACGGGATCGATCAAAGACAAATTGGCAACTTTGTGACGTATTCCCCAATTTGATAATTGTTCCAACAACTTGATAAACATTCACTTAATTATAAAAAGGGTTTCAATTAAACATGCACCCTACATATAATAATTATACATATGAAAAGAGGAACACATATGATGTACATGTCAACAAAATGTTTAGTACGTAGGATGGAAGAGGACCTCACCATGGTAAGAAGCAAATTAGTGATATTTTTTTTGATCGGATTCTGCTCAAACCTGTTGCGATCTTTTTCTCTCACGTTCTATTTTTAACGAAACCAGTCGAATCAGGGTGGATTTTCCCCCTTTTTTAAACCGTTTTTCTCTCACATAATGTGAACATTACAGGCTACAATTCGAGAGGCTCTCCAGTGCTTTACTGAATCGTTGTGTGACACTTTAACGGACAAAAACAAAGATGGGTTTTTAACCTGATTTTTCACACTCAACACTTCAACCCAGGCGCAGATCCAGGATTTCTTAGGGGGGGGGGGGGGGGGGCAAATTTGAAATTATGCGAGCCAAATATTGGTACGTAATGGTGACCAGCAGTGACGTAATGCGGGGAGGGGGGCGAGTTCCCCCTCACTCTTGACGTTTCATTGAATTATTAGAGAAAGAAGACGTTTCGTTGTACCGTTTTCGAAAATAATCCTCGTCTAAATTAAGTTTTTCATCGCTCGCGCGAAGCGCGGAAGCTTTTACGATTCATTAAACCATTAGAGAAAAAAGACGATTCGTCGTACAGTTCTCGACTCTTAATTCTCGTCTGAATTCAGGTTCCCCCCTCCCGCGCAAAGCGCGGAAGCTTTTACGATTTATTAAACCATTAGAGAAAAAAAGACGATTCGTCGTACAGTTCTCGACTCTAAATCCTCGTCTGAATTCAGGCTCCCCCCTCCCGCGCGAAGCGCTGAAGCTTTTAAGTGTCATTAAAATCGTTAGAGAAAGAAGACGATTCGTTGTACCGTTCTCGAAAATATTCCTCGTCTGAATTTAGTTTCCCCCCCCCTCCCGCGTGAAGCGCGGAAGCTTTTACGTTTCATTAAATCATTAGAGAAACAAGACGATTCGTATTACCTTTCTCAACTCTGAATCCTAGTCTGAATTCAGTTTTTCCCCTACCTCGCGAAGCGCGAAATTTTTGACGTTTCATAAGATTATGAGAGAAAGAAGATGATTCGGTGTACCGTTCTCGACTCTTAATCCTTGTCTGAATTCAGTTCCCCCCCTCCCCTCCTGCGCGAAGCGCGGAAGCTTTTACGTTTCATTAAATCATTAGAGAAAGAAGACGATTCGTTGTACCGCCAACGACTCCTAATCCTTGTCTGAATTCAGTCCCCCCCCCCCTCCTGCGCAAAGCGCGGAAGCTTTGACGTTTCATTAAATTATTAGAGAAACAAGACATTTCGTTGTAGAGTTCTCGACTCTTAATCCTCGTCTGAATTCAGGCTCCCTCCTCCGCGCGAAGCGCGGAAGCTTTTAAGTTTTATTAAATCATTAGAGAAAGAAGACGATTCGTTGTACCGTTCTGGCTCCTAATCCTTGTCTGAATTCAGTTCCCCCCCCCTCCGGCGCGAAGCGCGGAAGCTTTCACGTTTCATTAAATCATTAGAGAAAGAAGACGATTCGTTGTACCGCCAACGACTCCTAATCCTTGTCTGAATTCAGTCCCCCCCCCCCCCTCCTGCGCAAAGCTGGTCACGGCATCTCCCAGCTAGTCAAATCTCCTACCCATGACAAGGGTCACACCCTGGACGTTGTCATGGTGCGGAACGCTGATGATCAAATCCTGTGTTCGAAACCTCAGGTCATACCTGGCATCTCCGACCATTCTGCAATCTTATGGAAGCTAAACTTCGCTAAGCCTAGTCGGACCCACTCTACATATGTCAGTCGCAACATCAGAGATATTGACAGAGAGACCTTCGCGAACAGCATTACTGACTGCAACATCACTGCTCCTGCTACATGTAGTGTTGAAGAAGCTGTTCATCAATACAAGTTAGAACTCGGGAGGGTTCTAGATGCTCATGCCCCTCAGAGATCACGGAAAGTGAGGAATCATGCAGACTGTCCGTGGTATACCAATGACATTCGTACTCAGAAGAGGTTACGTAGACAACTGGAGAGGAAATGGAGGGCCAATGGCCGACTTCAGACTGACAAAGAACTGTACTGTGCCCAGCGTGACCTCGTAAATTCACTTGTGAAAAAGGCGAAGCGCTCATACTTTGTAGATCTTATTGAAGACTGTCGGAATGATTCAAGAAAGCTCTTCTCAGTAGCAAACCGACTTCTGAATCGTCGACAGTTACCACCACTTCCAGCCCACACGGATAGCCAGCAAATGGCCTCTACATTCATCCACTTCTTCCAGACGAAAGTCAAGACCATCTGCGACAGTTTATCACCTGACAAAACACCACACCATCCCCTTACTTCCTCTTCCTTTGAAGTAATACAACCTACTACCCCCAATGAGATTATGTCACTCTTACGTAAACTACCCCCCAAATCATGTCAGTTAGACCCTGTTCCCACTAAATTATTAATGGACTGTTCCTCCACATTCGCTCCCATCCTTTCTTACTTGATTAACTTGAGTTTAGAGCAGGCACATGTTCCTTCCTCATTGAAAATAGCTCATGTTACTCCGTTGTTGAAGAAACCTTCTCTGGACCGAAATTCCCTCCAAAATTATCGACCAGTTTCAAACCTACCGTTTTTGTTCAAAATTCTTGAAAGGGTTGTGTTTTCTCGTCTTTCGGATTATTTTCTGGACAATGATTTGTTCGACCCTTTCCAGTCAGGTTA